ATATCATTGCTATGATACCTTCACATTAGTGTACTGTCTACAAGGCCGACTGGGGGAAAAATGTGAGAATATATGAGAACATAATTTATGAGAGAGAAGAAAATGCAATGCTTATAAAAAAAATTACAAAATTAATATGGAAAAAACATAATTCATTCTGTATACAAGTCATGAATTCTTTTCATTGAAATCTGTGTCATAAATAAATATATATATATATCAGTAAACATTAGTCCTATTTAGTTCTAGGCCTTAAAGCAGGAAACTGTAATTTTATAACTATTGTGATTTTTGCTAGAAACACTGAATTTAACTTTAACAAAAAAATGTTAATTCAAATGATTATGCCAGTATTCTGCACTGAGACACTGAATTCTCTGAAATGTTTATCATCTCATGAGCTTCACAAAGTTGAATAAGTCCCAGTACAGATTGTTCCCAGCAGAGCACCTGACATTTTCCTGATCAATCCTGGAAAATCTAGTCATGTCAGCAAGTCATTATATCTAAAATGAAGAAATTTGGACAAACCTAAGTATTTTGTTAGATAATTTTGTTAATTATCTTTGGGTAATTAATTCCTTGTCACTCATATGTTTCTCTCTATGTATCTTTCATTCTGTCTTCATATTTATTTATTTCTACATTCTTTTGTGGGGTAATTTTGTTCACAATGGTTACCACGTGCAGGAAATAATAGATACATCTGGTCAAGATTTGACATTGTAAATTCAGGAATTTTCTGTATGTACGTTTTTCTCTCAACTATGACGAGACCCTATCAATCCTGCCAAAAACCCTAAAATCATTTCTGGCATACAACTAATTATTTTAACATGTGTTCAACAATACCTGGGGAAGTTTTAGCTCTCTGTCAAAAGATGCCTTTACTTGGTTATCTCTGAGACAGGGGCAACTAAAAGGCAGAGTTATTCAATATTCATTACACATTATTTTGAGAAGTTGGTAAATATTTTATTATGAAACAACCTTATTAAGATAACTGTGACAATTCGTTCAATTAGTTTAAGACTGCAATGGCATTAATTGAACATAATTATGTCTTGTATACAGATACATTTCTGATATTAATCACTTATTATATCATCAACACCCCTATGCGCCCTACTGACATAAAGAAATTCAACAGTAAAAAGTAAAGATACACAACTGTCAGAAACAACTGTCCGAAATATTGATAGAATATTTAATAATGCATTTAATCAACTGATTTTTATTCAACACTCACTAAGTACTAACATGTTTTCATACAATGTATCAACACAACTAGTTTTAATGATAGACTGGCAAGATTTTTACATGATGACAAAGGTAAGTAAAATGTTGATTGTAATACATCAATGTTTCCAACTCTTTTAACCTATCTTTCTACATTAACATTCTCTGAAAAAAATATGTGGATTGGTGTGCAATAAAACAGTCATAAAACCAGATAGGAATGATGAAAAAAAAAAAGCTTCATTAAATAGAATGATAAAAAGGCAGACATACGAAAGACTTTCATGTAGATCCTGAAATGTTGATGTGAACAGCAATAGACCATTTATAGATAACTTATCACATGTAAATAAGTTACCAATTAGACACATTTTTTTCTCATAAAAAATTATTAAATAAGCCGTGTCACGACAAAACCAACATAGTGCGATTGCGACAAGCATGGATCCAGACCAGCCTGCGCATCCACGCAATCTGATCAGGATCCATGCTGTTCGCTAACTAACTCTATTACAAGTAGAGAAACTGATAGCGAACAGCATGGATCCTGATCAGACTGCGCGGATGCACAACTGGTCTGGATCCATGCTGGTTGCAAACCCACTATGTTGGTTTTGTCGTGACATGGCTCAAATAAGTATTAAAATTTAAGAATTTACAATACAGGTATCAGATAATGAGATATCCATTCAACTTGATTAAAGTGGCCAAAATAGTTTCAAAAAACTAATTTAGGGCTAGAGTGGTATAATTTACCCAGTGCAGCAACAAGACAGTAATGTTATACATTTTGACAAAAGTTACAAAACATTTAAAATTATAGTGTAGTGTCCTGATCTACCTCACACAAAGACAAATCAAAATTTCTTCCCTATAGACAATTATCTACCAGGTCTATACTACTGTATAAATGTAAAACAGATATTTACAATAAATTACAATTTAGTATAAATGTTCCTTTTTATATTTTCACTCTTTCATAAAGTTTTTACAACCCTTTGCAAGACAAAACTAAGTTAACAAATAAAATACTCATATCTGGAGCAATGCAATAATACTCATAATGATAATTATTAAAAAGATAATTAAAATATATTATATATAAGTCTATCCAGCTGACACAGAAGATGTAACAATGACAAGAACAAACAAGAGGGCCATGATGGCCCTGAGGTCGCTCACCTGTATATAGGCCCCCGGAGCGGGGCCAGTTTAAACCACAGGGCTTTTATTTGAACAAACTTTGAATACACCCATTAGAAGATGTTTCATGATGTTAAGTTTTTACTACACACATATAATGAAAAACAATGACCTCCCCTCCGGCAGGGCCACTTTTAACCCAAGGGCTTTTATTTGAACAAACTTGGTAGACACTCACTAGAAGATGTTTCATGCCAAATATCTAAGCTCTAGCTCTTTGGGTTTTTTGAAAGAAGATATTTAAAGTTTTTTCTTTCGGTTGCCATGGCAACCAGAGTTCTGCATGGAATTAAATTCTTTGAACAATTTTTAAAGGTGACCACCAAAGGAACATTCCTGTGAAGTTTGGATGAAATTGGCTTAGTGGTTTATGAGGAGATGTCACTTAAAGTGAAAGTTTACGGACGGACAATGGACGCCGGATGAAAAGCGATCACAAAAGCTCACCCTGTCACTTTGTGACAGGTGAGCTAAAAATGAAAACCTGATACACAGAAACAGCTGCATAAATTAGGATCTGAGAAGCAAATTTGTTCAGTATCTACCTATGCTTACAATGCAATAAGCGTTTTTGTCATTAGTAATACATTATACATTGTATCTAATAAATAAACAGATTGAGAAGTACCTGAAAATTCAATGAAGACATCTATTTGGAGAAAAAAAATCTAAAGCCATTTTTGATATTATTGACTTTCAAGATAAAGAAATGTGTTCCAAGTTATTAAAAAAAAGATTTTGCTCCATTTGCACATCCTCTTTTTTTCATTTTATGATATAAAACAGTTGTCAGACAATCATTGGACTTTTTTCCATTTTTTTGTAAATATTTCTATGATACTTTATCTAAAACCACTAGATTTATAAGATAAACAACCTTATCTCGGAGCAACAAATTCATCTTGTAGGTATAAGAAACAATCAATATGAAATACCTAATGTATATATTATATGCCTGAAATAAATTTGCAGATAAAATTTTGTCTAATAGATCACTAAAATAAACATAGTATTACTAATAGTCAACCAGGTTCATGAAATAATTGTGCATCTTCTATGAATAGCATGAAACTTGGTATGAAAGGGAAATGTATTTCATTTTATTTCAGCCTGGGATCCACTTTGTAAAAATCCAAGATGGCCACCAAAATCCAAGATGGCCACCAAAATATAATATTAATTAAGGGTCTCCTTGCTTAACCCATTACATCATATACACGCCTTTTAATGCCTTTTTCACACACCCCCCCCCTCCCGGGGATGTGCCCCCTTCTGTTTGGGGGGTTTGAAGGGGGGCGGAGTCCCCCTCATCGCCAAGAAAATTTTGGACCTGTGAGAGGCTGTAAATGACCCCAGATTGATCATAAGGTAACGTGTAACCAACGCTGAAAAGCATTTGACTCTATCTCAATCCATTGAGAAGTTGCAGCACTTTGAAATCAATTTTGATGGAAAAAATCAACGCAAAATAGTGATTTTTGGCAATTTTGAGATGTCCCCTCGTTGCCATGGTAACAGAAAATTTAAGCCTGAGCATGTTGTTGCAAGGGCAATGGTCCAGTCAACATTTGTGCCAAGTTTGATTAGTGTTGAAGCAGTTTTTATAGTATTACAGCAATTTGAACTTGTAACGGGAGACTTTTCAATGAAAACAGCCATTTTTCACAAAATGCTCATGAAGTAATGGGTTAAGGTCAATAAGGAGAGCATCTGATTGGTAACTCATGGGTTGCTTGTAGGATCCTTGGACCAGGGACAATTGATCACTGACATTTAGTCTAACATTTGGTCATTTGACTGCAGATTCAGAAATCATTCAGGATTTGTTCATAATTAAAGTTGGTCACTAAAAATGAAAAAAATGGTAAATACCACTGGTCAATTTTCCAAGAAAGCAAGCTGTGTGAACCAAGCCAAAATATTAAAATGTATTAAAATTGGTGTAAATACCAAACTAATAGACAAACCATCTTAGATCTTAGTGATTACTTAAACATTATATATTACAGATTTCTAGACTTTATTTCAGTTTCTTCGATTTATTTCAGATGTTTATATATTAACAATTTTTTTTTCAAAGGGGAGCTGGACCGTAGATAATGTTGGTATAACTTTTGGTCCAACCCTTTTGTATGTACATTATATATATGCTTAAGATAATGATGTTAGATTGTGTAAATTTATCATGTACAAAATATACAATAAAATATTATTAAACTAAAACAATTTTTCATTGGTTAGCAGTGTAAATAGCCAAGAGTACAAACTGTAGAAGTGGGGAAAATAATAAATAATGAATGTTTTACTCTTAGAATGGTGCTACACAGAACCATATTGCACACAAGTTAGCCAGCATAATCATCTGTACAGTCTGACAAATTAAAATTTAACTATTATACTATCTCCTGCTGAATTTTAGTATGCTGACCTGAATTCAACACTGGAAATTCCAAATTCAAACCAGGAAATAGCCATTGTACAGATTTAATCAAATGCAGCAGATGTATACAGTAAATTTCAATAAGAATAATTTAAAATAAATTTTCTGTTTGGCTTACCTATATTTTCTAGTGCATCTTTATAGTCCTGTTCAAGGGCATTAACATCTATATCACAATCTAGTTTAGCTGGTTTTTCAGGGGGAGAATCATCACCTAGACAACTTTCAGTATTTTTAAGAAACCTTTTCCCATCTATAACTCGTATCACAGTTCTAACTGATTTAACGTTTTCTCGATTTTTGGCACTTTTCAATCTGTTTCGCCATTGAACAGCATTAGAACCATCTGCAGGGCCTATTGGAATGATAGGCTTCACTGCTACAGAAGCTGGGCTAGTCTTTTTAAGTTCTACATGTTTTAGTTTTGCTTTAAAATCAACATTTGAATCACTTGTTAATGCTGCTACCTTAGCTAACACATCTGCTCCAGATCCAACACCCCTTGGAGAATTTGGTTTTGGTGAATCTGACTGAGTCTTTGGAATGCTTGAATCAGTTGTATTCTCCCTCGGTGATACTTTTCCAGTAGGAGATTGTGGGGGTTTGACTGGTTTTACACTGTTAAGTGCACCAAACTTTTGAGATAATGCATTTTCTAAAGCCTCTTTGTTTTTACTTGGAGAAATGCCATTTATTTTCGCATTATTATTTGAATCACTCCCCCACTTGGGTGGCTTAATAGCTGTTTTAGGTTTAACTTCTACTGAAGCATTTTCTAATTTTTGCCGAAAGGCCTCTGGAATGTTTACTTTACTGTCCCTCTTCTTTCCTGGTCCATTAAAGCTTGCTTCAGAAGGTTTATCCTGAGAATTGTCATCCACAGTGTTTATTGCACTCTTAGGTTTAAATGCATTTTCAACATTTCCATCCTTTTTATCCCCTGCTGCACAAACATTAAGGCCTGGCCCACCTCCATATTTTGGAAGCACTTTTGGCTTAGAAGTTACATTTGGTTTTGGTCGTAGAGGAGGAGTTTCAAACTTGCTCTGCGCCCCCTCAAAGCGGGCTTTGATGGCACTTAAACCACTTGGTTCATTCATTTCTTCTCCAGTATCCCCAGTATCATCATATATATCTTCGTCCTAAAATGATAACCATTATTAACAACATTAAAATTTGTATTATTTCATGATAGTCTGCACATTTCAATGTGTCAAACATGCAATTTTTCATTTGAAAATTGTGAAGTTTTTATCATTTATATACATGTTGCTGAATATTATTTAATCATTTTCTCTTTTTGAAAGTGAATAGGTCAACAATGGCCACATTTTTCATAAGTATTTCAAATATTCATTTGGATATAATATTCCTACATAATGTTGCTTGAAAAAATAATTGATCAAGTTCTATGTGTTTTAGAATTAACATTTACAAAATGTATAAAATTAATAATAATATTTTATTCTTACTAGAACATCTTATTATCTGCCTTATAAATACATACATAATGTACAACATCCGATAATGTACCTCACATTTGTCAACAACTTCCATGTATAAATTTCTTTTGTGATTTGTTGTAATGTTTATAATACTAAATACTACTGTATCAACGTAATTATACATTGTATTACAGACCTTCCATTATAGACCATTGATGAAATTAAAATTCTTAAAGAGTGTGCTTTTTTTTGTTGGGTTTTTTTTGCTGAAAATATTTAGGAATGCAGACATTCTATAATTTGTTGTAAAAACTAACATAAAAACATATTTGCTTAACTTTTAATTCTTTACAATATCTGCTATAAATTCACCATTTTTATTCAAAATATATAATTAAACTCACATTATTAACAGGAGTACTTATATATGAGTTTTCCGGCATGAATAAATAGATGGTGATATAATGTTTCCGCAGATTTAGATCTTTAGATCTTTGACCTTTAAATTTAACAATATCTCCTTGTAAACATGATAAATCTGAGAATATGGTAATTTCTAGGAAATGAATCTGGTGTAAATATCATTGTAGCATATTTAATGTTTATACAATGAAAGACTGCATTAGAGGCCATATTTTATGAAGTTTCTTTCTTCTGACAGTCAGGTAAACTTTTATCTACATATAACAAATGTCAGATTTCAATGCATTATGGACATTCTGTCAACCTTAACTGATAAAATATTTGAAATGAATTTGAATAAGAGTTCAATCATAAACAAATAACACAAAAAATACTTACCCCCTGCTTAATCTAAAAACCAAATTTGATTGATAAATTTAACATTAAGTGTTAAGATATCTACATGTATAGCTACATGTATAGAAGATTATCAATTCTAGTTAAATGCACTTTATCTCACCTAGACACATTGAATGTACATCAAAGTGGCATATAATGGTGGCATTAACTAAAACCTGGAATGGATTGTACTTTAATACCCATCAAAAATGAAAGTGAAATACAAAACGAGTGTTAACACCATTAACAACTTGATGTATCATTTACTTGTAAATGTTTTGATATTTTACAAAAGTCTGTCAAAGCCATTAACTTATGTAGTTTGCAAAAAATAAAAATATTTTCATTTATAATTTCAAAATCTGTATCATAATTTTGTAACAGTACCATCCCTATAATGTCCGAAGTAACAACTGTCTTTCATATAACCTTACTTAGTATATAATTCCTTCCTGATAAGTAACAACATGTTAAACAAAATTACAAAGGAGTCATTGTACATGTAAAGTTTGTAAACCAAAATACTTGTTTAAACGGATACATGCACTTGAAATTAAGAAGAGCAGACAGCCCAGTTAAATTCATAAATTTATTCATTCTCCAAAATATCTTCTTTTTTCTGGTATGATTGATATATTAAGTTTGTGATTATTTTCATTCAATTTATATCACATGCAACCACTTTTTCAGACAAATTTCTTTCCATCAAATTTTCTATAAATTGTGCATGTTTCCAACCTGTTAATTTTTATATTTATTTTTACATTTAAAATTGTTCAAGTACAACTCTTAAATATCATGAAAAAATTAATCACATTTATTTCAAATAAACTTTATAAATAAAATTTATCAAGGTCCAAAAGAAAGTGTTTCATAAATTCCACACTCAAGAAGAACAAAAATTAAAACAAAAACTCCCATCCTAGACTTTGTTTAATGCCATCACTATCAATGAATACAGCAGCTGGTATATAAAGCACAAACATGTGATAAAGATAAGAAACTGAGAAATTTTATCAAAGGTGAGGAGCTTATTGGCCAGTAAAAAATCTCAATAGTTTGTATCAAATAACATTTGGTTGAAAATCATACAGACTTTGCAGTGTTTATGAAAACTTTTAGCCCATCTGTCCAAGTTTCATAAAATATATTGTTAACTTTATAAGTGCATATTTCTTAAGGAATACAGTAGCTGTTAACTGAAGACATAGCTGATTGTTAATTTATTCTTACAATTCTTAACATTTTGTTCATATGTACATGTATTGATAATAATTGATATGAAAAACAGACTTCTTTACTTATCTGATTAAATGCTACACAGTTACTTACAGTCACTATTTAGTATGCTGTATACCTGAATCATACAGATCAGGTTGTATTTTATGTATAAACATTTTTTTTCATATAAAAGAAAAATGGAATCAGAGATTTGATAAATGACGCTTATATTATAATATAAAATACATTTTGTAAAGTAATCTAAATGAAGTTGACAATTTTGATTAATGAAGTGAATTTTTGAAGATATGATATTAATGAGATTACAATACAACATAAAACAATAGGTAGGGGTTTCATTATAGTTGGAAGAAACTTGGCATTTCTTATTGGGTAGACCGTAGTGGGCATACTAGCCAGGAAGGAATGTAAAAGAAATGACCAGAATTTTACAAGCCAAGTGACCTACAATATGCTTGCTCCAGGCCTAGATTACACTTGACAACCTGGTCATAATGAAACCCTTGAGTAGGTCAATGTTGTAATAGAAAAAAGCCTGTTTTTGGTTAATATGTAGGCATATAAACAATACATTAAAAAGTCACTACACAAAAAGATAAAGTTTGAAGAAATGTTTGAAACACTCTATGTATTATACAAAATTAGAAACAAAGTATGACACCTCATGCTGCTGTGCATAGTTTCAATGAATTGTGCATAATCTAAACATAGCATAGTGAATAGTTACCTAGCCAATGAATACTAAATCACACTCTGATAGAAATGTCAGACTTGTACTTTAGCTTGTATAGTAAGAAAACTGTACAAAAAAACTGTTTCTTTTTAAGAGGGAAAACAAAATTTTATCATATTTTAAATAATTATTGGATGTTAAAAAAAGTTGTCTATGAAAGTAACACAATACAATTATTTTTAAAACTAAGCTCAATTATTATTAAACAAAATACTTTGAAGTGTTCTTAAAGAGGGATTAAAGCACCAGTCAATAGTTATCACAGCCACACCTCCTTTCCCCTCCCCAAGAGGAAGTTCATGTTGTTTTAAAGAAAAAGCGTAATTTTGTCTGTCAACAAAAATACTCATAAATATATTTTTATTATGCAAAATGCAAGTTGCTTCATGATATTGTTAAGGGTCTTCTGTTTTTAGGCAGCTTTTTACTTTAGGCTGGTGAAATTAAAATAAAAAATATGTATATATATTTTTCTTTATTAATATAACATATATTTTTTTTTTGGAGGTGGGGGGATTTTCAACCCCAAATATTGTGAAATTCCTGGCCCTTGCAGGCATGCAATCTCCAGAATGAAAGGAAGACCCTATGATTAAACAATGACAAATCTATTTTATTTATAGTTTTTAGTTTGAATCAGAATTATTCCAACTAATTGGACTTAGTTTATTATGGATGAGAGAGCACTTGATTAAGTAATTAATTTTAATATCTAAAGTAAAAAAATATAAATATTATATTACAAACTGAAGTACCAGACATATACATTAATACAAATAGTATAAACAGGAGAACATCAGAAATTATATCTCTCCAGAAGTACATCTTTTATAGAGGAGTAACTTGGATACACAGACACTTTTGGGTCACTATCTCATATGGGGACCATACTCAGAATGCCTAGAAAATAGTGGAAATAGTTTTTAAAATTAAACAAGTTTTCTGATTACGGAAGATGTTCCTTTTGCATTAAAATGTCAAAAGATTTTTTAATGACAAATGACTGGGATGCAGCGTCATAACCCAAAAATGTCTGTACGGTATCTAGGCACACTGAGGAGCTGGACATTCTATAAATAATTGAAAAAAAAAGCAAATTATTAAAAATAATGGCAAATATACCCCCTCTATACAATAAATAAACATTTATTGTATAGAGGGGTATATTTGCGGTTAGTTTTTAATTATTTGCTTATATTTTTCAATTAATATTTATAGAATGACAAGCTTCTGTGAGAATAGGATATATTTAAATCAATTTCAACAAGTAACACAACCAGGTACACACGTTTTTCTTTACTTACGTCTTCGAACATGTTTAAGCTAATAATCCTAATACACTGTGGCCATTAACTATCCTTCATAAATCAGTGACCATCGAATCAACCATCAGTAGGTGTAACCTGTTAACTGTCAATAAAGGGCTATATTTGTGTATATTATTATTAAAGCAATTAATTTATCATAAAATTTAGGCTTCAAAAATATTTCATGCACATGCTGCAGCTAAAATGTACACATGAAAATTAATTACCTTCAAAAAAGAAACCAATTAAATCATTTACGTCCCATTTAAAACTACGGAAAACTTCTATTAAACTTTCAAAACTTCCTTGTTGCGAAAATCAGGAAGTAATTCATAGTGAAGCAAGAGAGTGTCTTCCCTTTAATAGGTTGCACGCCACTATAATTGATATTGTTAGGTTCAAACTACAAATTATATCCGTTCGCCCGATAAAGTATATCAAAATATAAACAAAGTGGTATTTTGAACCCCGTACAAAATACTTAATCATTATAACTGTACTTATTGTCAGAACGCAAAAGAAGTAAAAGATGGCTGAACTACATGTATATATTGGTTAATTTAATAAGAAACATATTGGAAACTGTAACAGCTACTAGCTGTAGTATAGCACGGATTTAGTATACTGTAGGGACAACAAAAGTAAAACTTTTGAAAATGACAACTGGTTAATATTAATAGTAAAACATAAACTGACAGATTTATATGCAAATGATGGTTTTTATAGTTTTTTTATGATATTCTAAAGTCACTAATTTACATTAACTTAGCTACTTTTCGTATGATTTTAAAGATAAAAAATATATCTTTTTTTTTAATTTCATACTATTATTTTAAGAATTAGTTAAAACAAGTAATAGAAATAGCATCGAAACACGAGGCTATCTGATTTGTACGAGGGGGCGAAGCCCTCAGTATTAATCAGATTGCCGAGTGTTTTGATGTTCTTTCTTTCTTGTATCATAGCCAAACATAAAACATTGATTCTCCACTAAACATTCAAATTAGGCTGTAAGTAATAGTGAATAATTGACATTTGCGAATAGTTACCAAGACACCTTTTTTTGTTGGTTTAACTTATGTATAACATTGAACACATACTGGTTCTTTTAACATTTAACCAAAAAACTTGTAATATTTCCTGAAATTAAGTTACCAAGAATTCGAGATTTGTGCAAAACAGATACGTTACCATTTTTCCAATTGCTTTCAGAGACTAGATAAAAATAATTAGCATGAATATACATAAATTAGAAATTAATTATCATTCTTTCAACAATATACCACCAGTATATATTACAAAAGATTATGCATCAATCTGCATTTTAAAAAAATCTACGTCTATGAATAGCTTGTGAACTGAAGCTGATGAAAATGTTACTTATTAATCAGACTTGTGTATTTCAAAAACATTATTTATTTATAAAAGCATTTTAGGTCAATAGAAATACTGATGTTCCATAGTTATCTATTGACACAATGTAGCATGGATTTACTTAACAGTAAAAATTTACTCCGCTAAGTGGAAACGAATATCAAATCATAGTAACGTATCTGTTTCACCGTTCTACTATAAACAAAATTATGAAAAACCCCGAACACGTAGATATTCATAAAGTTTTTTAAACAACTGACCAATAAATAATATGTCTGAACCAGTACTTTTAATATTAAACAGAACACACAATATCATTTTCAGTTTTTTTTAGGTTTTATTGTTTTATGTATAGCTTCAAATAGTCAAATAACAACTTTAAGAAGCAGAATGAACTTAACAAGAACATTTAAATAAAGACACTCATCTATTAGAATATGTACATGTAACAGCTAGATTAATGTGAGTGTTTCATAGTGTGAATTGACATTCATTCTGTATTTCGTTTGTCTTTTTGGTTCATCTTCTGTTCAATTATCTTTATTTTTTCTATATACGTTTTCTTTATATACTGGTACAATCTCGATCTTTGATTTTGTCATACTTGGTGATATGTGTAAGCCAATGTGTACATGTATAATTATGCTTATCTACATTTAACAACATTATATCAGAAACAATGGTACCGTTTAAAGAAAACCAACTTAGTAATAATCAATCCATATATATGTGCACCTCCAAGATTTTGAGCTATTTCAAATTAGTCCATCCCTACCATAGACAGAAAATCTTGATACGACGCTGACAAAAATTTAGAAACTAACGGGCATTCATTTAAAAATACTTTAATATATTTTTTTATTAAGTTACAGTGCTGTTATATATTGCCTAACCACATATTACTTATTTAAACCAAAGTTTTGTTGAAGATTTAGTTATATATATTAAACAGTACTCAAATCTCTTTCTAAACAGATACGTTACTATGATAAACAGATACGTTACCAGAAGTTATACAGTCCTCTACATTTTATTTTTAATACAAATTTTGCA